CGGATAGCCTCCAACTCCGCCTCAGTAATCATGGATTTGTCAGCCTTCGTGTGCCAATGATCTGGTTCCGCCTGGCTGATTGGCTTTGGAGCTGCTATCATGGTGGAACCGTGGGATCGTACCACCAACTCCCCCATCCTCTCTGTCATATACTGTGCCGCTAGCTCCACAGCATCATCATCTCCAAGTGGGTCCACCTTGACAATCGCATTCCCTTCTTGGGCCATTTCTGTGGTTTGTTTGCGAATCGCTTCGGCGGTTGGAACAAGGAAATCGAAAAAGTGTTGCAGAGGTGTATTGTGAGCAACAAAGGAATCCACACTTGGAATATTTTGATTTTTCGTAAATAGGTAGGTGAATCGAATAATGCCAAAAGCCCACGGTTTGCCTGTATTCCAAGGATCCCAATTAATTTCTGCCAGTTTGAAAACTTTTCAAAATCATCTGCCAAAACTGTCTCCTCAACACCCATAATGACTTACCGTTTCATTTCTGATCCACCGTCTCACCTCCCCCCTACGGGATGTTGCCACGTGTACGTCCACGATCCACTGTCCCCTCCCCTTACCCTGTCTTTTCCACTTCAACTCACCACGTGACCCGCCGCGTCTCGAGCCTTACGCCCCTCCACCTCTCCCTTCATGGTCGGCCCTCCTCGCGGTCGACCCTCCCGCTCGGTCAAACACCGCGGTCGGCCCTCCCCGCGGTCAGCCCTCTTGCTCGGCCAAACGCCACGATCGGCCCTCCTCACGGTCGACCCTCCCAGTCGGCCAACACCGCGGTCGGCCCTCCTCGTGGTCAGCCCTCCCACTCGGTCAAACCCCGCGGTCGGCCCTCCTCGTGGTCAGCCTTCCCACTCGGCCAACACCGCGGTCGGCCCTCATCGCGGTCGGCCCTCCCAGTCGGCCAACACCGCGGTCGGCCCTCCTCGTGGTCAGCCCTCCCGCTCGGCCAAACGCCGCGGTCGGCCCTCCTCGTGATCAGCCCTTCCGCTCGGCCAAATGTCGCGGTCGGCCCTCCCAGTCGGCCAACACCGCGGTCGCCCCTCCTCGTGGTCAGCCCTCCCACTCGGCCAACACTGCGGTCGGCTCTCCTTGTGGTTGGCCCTCCCGCTCGGCCAACCACCGCGGTCGGCCCCCCCTCGATCACCCCTTCTGCCAATCCCTAACACACTCATCTATGTCACTAATATTCCCTTCGTTGGATTGAAGCTGCACTCGGAAATGGGGGACTACTGACATGTATAAGCCCATAAAGGCCATGAATCACCTATGGCCTATCACTTGAAGCCCAGTGCATAACCCAGCTGACGAGGTCCAGGACAGCCGGAGTCCAACATGGCATAAAGAGCCAATGACATTCAGACACACGGCAAGAGAATGACGAACCACATCAACAGACAAAGATCTGCAAAGTTATTGCCACTGCACATCACCATTAATGCAGCCCATCATAACATTTATTACGACAACACCTCTCCGCCGAAACAGGACCCCCTTACCCTGAGCAAGGTAAGCTACAGCATAGGCTTTCGGCAAGGAGAGCAGGTCGGAAGGGACATCGAAATGATTACCAAAGGATATAAGCGAACGTTGTAGACAAGAAAAAGGTTAAGCTTTTCTATCCATAACCTCTCCCTCTACACATTACTTCTCTTCCTAACTTGCTCATCGGAGAGTTCACTGGGGGACTACCCCGTTCCCCGTTGAACTTGCCTGCAGGTTATTCGGTGGGCTTGATCATTTGGACGCAGGCTTGAGGAGCTTGGACCTGCCCAATCCATTCACTGGGATGAATGGCATTAACAAATTGAATACTTTCTTATATTACATTTCAATAATCGTTTCAATTATTTGTGAGTGTGTTGAAAAAACGTATTCCTTCCGTCCTAAAATAATGGTCTCTTTTGGAGAATCTAACTTTTTTTAGTAGTAAAATTATTACACTTTAAAAAAATTAATTTTTCAAAATTACCCTTTGATAGTGCATTTTTTGGAAAATATTAATGTCATAATTGTACTTTTTATGTTATTAATGAATTTAAAAGAAAGGCAAAATCGAAAATTTATATTATTTTTGTATTTGATTTTTGAAAAGGGACTAATATTTTGGGACAATGAAAAATAAAATAAGAAACTAATATTTTGAGACAGAGGGAATACAAAAAATATGCCCGAGAGATCAAATATTTGTTTTTACATTACATTTTCATTTTGTAGGATTGCTTTAAATGAAGTGCAAAATATATGTCTCGGGAGAATTGTAGAATAATTACAAAAATTGGTAGGAAATAAATTATAATTACAATATACACGGGAACTTGAAAAATCACTAGAAAAATATCATAAATTACATTTTTCCCCTTACACTCTTCTTTCTTTCCTCTCCTTCGGTTTTCTTTTCCTACAAATCTATAATTGGCCGACCATCCTTTCCTACTCTCCTTAACCATCAGCTACTACTCTCTTACCCTTCCTAACTCCAACCTTCTCTCCCGTTACAATTTTCCCCATCTCAACCCTTTTCATAACAGTCTAGTGACATCTTAGCCCCTCATTACCTCACCGCGACACCCTTAGCCCATCTTGGGAACTATATATCTTCAACCTTATGCTTTTGCTATTCTCTCTCTCTCTATATATATATATATATATATCATGAAGTCCATTATGGTGGCAACAAATGAGAGAAGTAAGGTGAGGAAAGGGTTAGGGAGGGTTAAAATAGTGGCAGCAGCAACAATAGTTGGAAAAGGGGTTGGGGCTGTATAAGGAGGGTTGGAAACTACAAGGGAGAGGTAGTGAAGGTGAGGTTAGGATTGGTAGCGATTGGGAAGACATGAGGAAGAGAAAAGAGAGGAAGGGAAGAGAAAGAAGAGGAAAGGAAAAGAGAAGAGTATAAGGAGCAAAAATGTAATTTTCTTTTATATATTTTTTAAATTATTTTTAACTTCTTAGGTACATAGAAATTATCTTTGATTCTTCATTCTTTTGTTTTTTTTGTTTGTTTGTTTGTTTGTTATTATTTAAGTTCTTTTTATTTTTTTGCAATTCTCCTTCAAATCAAATACTTTCTTACACTAAATTTGAATAACAACATTCCACAATAATATTTATATAACTGATTTTATGATAAATTAAAAATTCAACTGATTTTATGATAAATTAAAAATTCAACCTAAGATAAGTGGACAATTTTTAATGTGCCTTAGGAATATGCTCATGTTGTTCCTTAAACAACCCAAAGTGCTAATTAAAAAATGAATAGACATAACAAGGCCGGCTGCCATTACTTTTATTATTCTCTTATCTTATTATGTGTTATTTTAGAAAGTTGATAAAAAGTTAAATTTTTGGTTTTTTTAATTTATTTTATCTTTTTATAAATAAAAAATATGAAAAATAATTTAACTTAAAATAAATAAAAAAGTTAAAAATTAACTTCTTTTTTTTTCCTTCCCCAAAAACCCCTATATTGTGGAACCATATTATTCAATTAGGAATCTTGTGACTTTTGATCCAATCACAGACACCTAGTGCTTCTTTGACCCAAACGCACATGACAAATATGAGTACTGTCTTTTGGCATTTTAAAAATATTTTATTCAAGTTATTTGATTTTTTTCCCCTATGCCTTATTTTTGGCGGTTTTCGTAATTTTCTTACGAATAATAAAATTATAGCTGAGGAATTTTGTTTTTATGTCAATTAATTACGTATAATGTATATTATGTTATTTATATCATATTGAATATTGTAAAAAAATAAAAATAAAATTCATTACATATAATTATAAGTATAAAATTAATAATTAAGATAATAATACTGTCATTTGAATATAAAAAATGATTTACAAACAAAATTATTATACATAAAATTGATACACAACAATATGACATTGTTGTTTTTATACTTTGAAGTCAAAATAATTGTTATTTTGCTTACAAATGAAAGGACACATGAAGTGGCTGCACTATTTTATAATTTTTTGTATAAAAATTCAACTTGTATAATATTATCTTTTGAATGTTACTTAGGGGTTGTTTGGAGGGTTCTAAATAAGTACATTTTTTGTATTTTTGGATTAAAAAATTGAAGAAAAAAATATGGATGTTTGTGTTAACTTTTTGACTTTTTATGAAAAAATGTGTAATAAAAAATTATAAAAATTGGTTTGTAGAGAAAAATTAGAATTGAGAATTGTGCAGCCGTAATTGTTGACTTTTGGTGAATAGTATTAACTTTTTAATTTTTTGAGTAATTTTTTGACTTTTTAACTTTTCTCAAACTTCTCAAACTTGGTCTTAATCTTATGAGTGCAATTTTTTGTGTGTTAGTTTGTGTTTAGATCCTGAAAAGTACATTACTGTATTTGTTTCAAATTGTTTATTTGTCACGAAAAATAAAAACTTAAAAATAATATATCATTATGTCAAATTTATAAAAAAAAAATCACAAAATTTACATGGCTATTTTTTTAATTTTTTTTTTCTAAAAATATATTATTTTTAAGTTTTTATTTTTGTGTGCTGGACAAATAATTTGAGACATAGATAATAAAATATTTAAAAATATTTAAAATGTATATAATCTATTTTATTTTGTTTATGGAAAAACTACATGTCAGTGGGATGCACAATTATTTTTTTAATAAAAAAGTGAAAATGTTTATTTGTATAGAAATTAAACATAAAAATTAAAATAAGACATAACCATCTTATAAAAGATGAATTGGGTCTTCACAAGAGGTCTGTATTCCTAATATTACTAATAATTAAAATCATAAACTTTTTAACATTTTTGTAAATTTTTTGTTTTTGCACTCCACTGACGTGTAATTTTTTATTTTTATTATTTAGTTATTTATTTATTTATTAATTTAAAATAATTTTTATATTGGAACTTTAATTTAACCAGCACACACCCGGTGGTTGGGAGGGAAGACCCAATATTGTAGTACTTTTGTGAACAAATTTAAACCCAAAACAAAAAAGAACGTGTGAAAAAAATTGATCAGGTAAGGTTGAGCATACGGTAGCCGCGTGAACCTCATCAAACTCGTCAACGTCTTCCTTCCAATTCCCATTGAAGCTTCAAACTTCAACTCTCTCAATACGTCTACTTTATCTGATTTCTCTCCCTAGATCCCCCATACAAATCTCTCTCTCTCTCTCTCTCTCTCTCTAGAGCTACCAAATTCAGATCCAATCTAGGTTTCAAAACCCCTCACAAACCCCTAGGGTTTAACTAGTGCAAACCAATTCAACACAGTTTTTGTTGTTTTTTGATTTTGGGAGATGGATTTGAAGACGACGCCGGTGAGATTCGCGCTGGGGAAGCAATCGTCGATGGCGCCAATCCGCGGGGGCGATGAGGATGAGAACGGCGGCGAAGAGTTGGTGGAGGAGAGGGAGATTGATCCGAGGGTGGGATTGATGTATTTGGCGAATGAGGGTGATTTGGAAGGGATCAAAGAGCTATTGGATTCTGGCACTGATGTCAATTTCAGAGATATCGATGATCGGACAGCTCTGCACATCGCTTCGTGCCAAGGGTTTAGTGATGTTGTTGACTTCTTGCTCAAGAATGGTGCCAAGGTTGACCCCAAAGATCGCTGGGGAAGCACGGTATAGCACACACTTCTAAACTCTCTCTCTCTCTCTCTCCATAAATTACACTTTTCACCTTCAAAACTTTTTGGCTTTGAATTTATTATTTAATCATGTTGATCCTTATTTTTTTAATGGTAACAGTTAAATACGCAGACATTTAATTCATATTTCAATGGATAGAAAATTTTCAATTGAGGGTCACGTGAGCACATTTTTAGTATAGGGAAAAAAAAAAAAAAAATTTAATCGTCAAACCTTCACTTAAATTTTATACAATGACTGGAGGATTATATTAAAATAAGGGTTGAAATCTAAAGATTTATTTGTTGCAATTAGAAAATGAGGGACTAAAGTGTAATTCAAGTGACAGTTTGACAGTAAAAAATGTAATTTACCGTATATATAGATCAGCTTTTAAATGGGTGTGCACCTATGTTACGTGCAATATTCAAAATAAATTAAATACCTTGTTGGATGCCCGACACTTGGATATGGTTGGATAATAAGGTTGTGGGATTTGTGTATGATACTTTTCATCGGATATTTGTTATATATTTGTATGAAAATTGATTGGTCCACTAAATTTGGAGTCACCCGGATTGCCCGAATTACGTAAGCCAGATGACCATCTGAATGACCGGCGTCATTCTTGTCAACCGCGGATGTCAACCTTGTCATCTGGCATCCATTCGGATGACCGACTAGACGACCGACATGCACAAATTTGGGCGGGCCAAAATTCGGTGGATGTAGGATTACTATATTTGTATTTAACACTATGTATGTATAAATTGTTGTATAATTGCTATAAAATATTTTTTTAACAATGCATGTCACAAATGACACCATTTTATCTCACATAATAAATTATAAATATAAAAATATGACTTCTTTTGCCGAGTATGCATACTTCAAATTTTAAGTTTGTTTGGCAACTTGAAGTTTTAGCTAAAAAGTGAAAAAGTCACTATAAGTTATACATCACTCTCTCTACTTTTATGCATATCTTTTCGTAAAAAATCAAAAGTTATTAAATAGCATGTTTCCAAACCAAGCCATACACACCCTTACCCGAATCCATTAGTATAGGTGTGCACTGTATATATATTAATTACAATCTAATGTTGTGAACAGCCTCTTGCAGATGCAATACATTATAAAAATCATGATGTGATCAAACTTTTGGAGAAACATGGTGCAAAGCCTCTGGTATGTTCTATAGTTTGGTTTGGTAGTTGCTATGAAATCCCCTCTGCTAGTTATGTGTCATTGATTATATGGACCTTAGTTTGATGTTTGTCACATTGTTTGTTGGGTGTTCTCTTTCTTAATATTATCTTACAACTTAGATGGCGCCCATGCACGTCAAAAATGCCCGGCAAGTCCCAGAGTATGAAATTAATCCAAGGGAGCTCGATTTTACAAATAGTGTTGATATTACTAAGGTAACTAGTATTTCTTTTCAATTTGGGTTGTTAATGCATTTATGCCTTGATTTTCCCTTATTCTCAGTTTAGGAATCATTTAGCATAATTCCTGGTTGCTTTTGAAATTGCATTTGTGGTGCCTTAATTATTATTAGTCATCACCATGGCTTGATTGGATAGTATGTTTGTTACTGTCATAATTTCTGTGTCTTGTTCGATGTCATTGTGCAATTTTTTGGTTTTAGAAATATGGGTAAGGAAGAAATACTATATTGAGATTTGAGATCGATAATTACAATAGAAACCTATTTATAGGCTTATTAGAAATGAGAGGCAACCAAGAAATCTAAGGAAATAGGTAAATATAGAAATACAATATTATGGAAATATGGAAATACAAAATTCTGGAAATATTCTCTGACATTATGGTGTTAGTGCTGTTAACTCTGAAGTTGATGAGCCTAGATTAACTTGAACACATAAATAATGGAAAATCCTTATGTGATGACAATATATTTTGAGTGTCGGAGAGGATATGCCGTTGTTGATGTACTTTAGTTTGGACAAGTCACGAAATCTCTGCTGTTATAATGTTTCTCATGACATGCTAGACCATTGTATTTTTCTATTTCTCTCTCGTATTTATGGTTGGCAATGTGTTTAGGGAAATTGATGTCCTTATTTGTTTATCCCATTCAAGTTAATAAGCGTAACCAAATTGGAATGTAGCTTATGACAATTTCTTGCATATGGAATATTCCAACTTAGGCAACTTATTAATATTGTTGTGTAAGTGTTGGCATCGGGTTGGCCTGGCCTGTGAAAGCATTCTCAATCCTGCCCGCAGGCTTAGTTGAATGAGCTTTTTTTTGGTGAGCTTGGGCTTGGGTCTAGGCTTGGGACAAAAATGTAAGCCGAAGCCTGCTCAACAGGGGGCAGACGGGCAAATGTGCTACCAGGACTTGATTTGGGCTTTTTCAGGCATTTTAAAAAAAAATTCTCCTTTCTTAAAAACATAATGTATGTAAAAGTTTACTATAAATGGGTGACAGCCTAATCTTTTCTTTTTGTTTTTTATCATTGGATTGTGTTTTTAATATAAAAAAAACCTCAACAAGAAAAACATTAGCGATTTTATTAACCTATTTCAGTTTCAAGAATTTAAAGTGTCTAACCTCTTATATTTTGGTGAAACACTGCCTAAAATTAATGTTTCGTAACAAAGAGACTAAACATCTGTACTGACTGAGTCATAGGTGTAGTTTTAATTGGCAAACTCAGGTTGTTGATCTGATTACTTTATGTTGCAGCAATCATACTTCTGCTTCTTTTTTGTCTTGAAAGTAGTAATTCATCTTTTATAAACTAACTGAAACATATCCCAGGGAACCTTCTGTGTAGCATCATGGCAAGGAATAAAAGTTGCTGTGAAAAAACTTGGGGAGGAAGTGACTGCTGATGAGGATAAAGTGTGAGTTGTCCATATGATGGCATTTTCATTTTGTTTTACATTATGTTCTGAACTTTTGGTTTTCATTCTGCTTTTTGCTGATTTTGTGCAGGAGGGCTTTCAGAGATGAGCTTGAATTGCTTCAGAAGATAAGACATCCAAATGTAGTCCAATTTCTGGGTGCTGTAACACAAAGTACTCCAATGATGATTGTGACAGAATATTTACCCAAGGTCTTTCTCAAATTTTTGAGTACTCACTTCTTATTAAGTGGCACTTGATAGTCTTAAACTTTTTGCTGATTTCCAGCTTATTAGATTGCAGATTTAATATTCTTTATTGTTTATGGAGCAGTAGGAGTTCTTCTCGTCCTAGCTATTTATCCTTGTAATTGCAGTTGGTGTTGTTTTTGCTATTTCCAATTCTTTCTTACCCTTTGCTGAATTTGACCTTTTCTTAATGCTTGTATTTCAAATATATATTCAATCTTTGAACTTCAATTTTTATGGTGGTTCATGTCAACAATAGGTGAATTCTTTTGATATATGTCTTCCATCTCAGAATTGGACTTCTATTTACACTGAGCAATGCTTTTTATATCTTTTAACATGTCATTTAATGCTGTATATGGATGTGAAGATTCCATCTAGCGAGTGCTTCTCGTTTTGAGTTTTTCATACAATATGCAACTGACATGATCCTTTCACTCATCTTGAAGGGATATCTTGTTATGTTTTCATAGACTTGTTCTCTTATCCTAATGCTATGTAAATTGCAGGGTGATCTTTGTGATTTCTTAAAGAGAAAAGGAGCCCTAAAACCTACAACAGCAGTGATATTTGCTCTTGATATTGCAAGGTTCATTTTCTGTTTTGTACTGGATTACCATTGCTCAACATGCCTTGTTTAGAAGATTTTGTCAAATGATTTGACTTTTGTCTTCGATGTTTATTTCCATCTTTTAACTAAATTTTATTGCCATTGGCAGATATAATTACATATTCAAAATAAGTGGTTTGAGCTTGTTGAACTTGACTAATAGTACTAATAGGTTGCAACAGTAGCTTTAGAATTTTATGTAATTTTTTTTGATGGAAAACAATGCTGAGTTAAAGGTTAACTTTGACAGGGATTATGGATATGGTTGATACCATTGGTGCAAAACATAACAATCCATTAGTGACAACAACTAAATAGTAACACCAATGTATATGTAGTGGTTGGTAGAAATGATTTTTGGAGTTGGGACATGTAATGTAAACAGCTCTGTTTTATTAATAGGGTTGCAAGTAACAAGAGTTGAAAATGATTAAAGGGGCTGAGATTTTGATGCATTTCTGCAAGAGACATTGCTGGAATTGGGAATCTTTTGTGAAGCTTGAACTGTGAATCTCACACCCTACATTTGTAGTTGTCATCTAGTTCCTCGATAGAATTCACTTTAATACAAATGACCTGGACAGGTTGATGTGTATCAAACTTTGACAACAACACTTTTTAGTAATCTATCTGAAGTTCTGAACAATTGATTTTGTTTATTTAGGCCTTGCTGTCTTTCCTTGAGGTGTTAAGATGCCAAAAACCTCTTTTGAGGTTCTAGATTATTTGTTTGAGAATGCAAAATTACTTTTCAACATTATAGCGGACTAGGACATGTGCCAAAGGTTCAATCAATTTATGGCTCCCTCTTTTTTTTTTTTTTTTCTTCAGCTCATTGAATGCTGAAGATTATATTTATTTGGTGTTACCTGCAGTTGGCTTCAATACTTGTACTTACATAATTTTTTGGTGATTTTTGCAGGGGGATGAATTACTTGCATGAGAATAGACCTGGAGCAATAATTCACCGTGATCTTGAACCTTCGTAAGTTATCTGGATAAGCTACTATTTTTTTTCCCCTTCTATTCCAACCCCCTCTTTTTTTGTTTTGTTTTTTGTTACCAATCTCTGCCTGTATATACATGAACAAATGTATATACTGTCATGAAGATCAGAAAGAGGAGTCAAATGTAGAAGAAAAGGGTCCTGTTGTTTAGGTTCTATACCTTCAAATGAAGCGAAAAGAAAAGAAAAAGTTATTTTACAATTTTGTTGTTTAGCGTCTAAATATGGGCAAACTTTCTTATGTCGTTTGAGTAAGATAACAGAAATATATTGCGAGATGATTCTGGGCATCTGAAAGTTGCGGACTTTGGAGTTAGCAAGCTGTTAAAAGTAACCAGCAGAGTCAAAGAAGATAGGCCTTTGACCTATCATGACACTTCTTGTGAGTGTGCTGATCTTCTGCATAGCTTTCATATTACTCACTGCTCAAATTGTACTCTAGTTTCTTCAATTGCAATTAATTAAGGATCATATCATGGTTTCTAATAAATTGTGTGGATATTATTGTTGATATGGTGACATTTACATATATCTGCTGTATAAATGTAGATTGCTTTTTGTACACAAGAGGCAGTGAAATTTTTGTTCCTGGTCCCTCTTCGTTGTATTTCTTCCATGCATTCATTTGATTATTTATTACTCTCACACACTAGTTATCGTTACCTCTTGAATTTTTATTAGATTGCCAAGGGGCTGCATATTAGAAACTGGCATTCCATGATAAACAAATTGAGAAGAAGGCATCTTTGCCAAAACGTAACGAGTGTAGATTGTTGTGTATTAATGGAAGAAAAACTAGAAGTAATTGAACCATGGTTTTCCTTATTCTAGTATTCTACCATATGAAGTAACCCTCATTTTCTGTAAATTGACTTCGCTATTTATGGAATTATACCTGTTTAGCTGACACGAATAATACTTTATGAACAGGCCGATATGTGGCTCCAGAGGTTTTCAGAAATGATGAGTATGACACCAAAGTGGATGTATTTTCATTTGCTCTGATTTTACAGGAGGTAAAGGTTTTTCATCCTTTATTTCTGCATTAAATACACCTAGAGAGAGCTTGCTTTTCACTCTGTTCGTATTTCTGCCTACTGTTCACATTTTTTTTTGGGTTCAGTATGTACTGATCATGGAAGAGTAATATTTAGATATGTAATTATATGTTGTGCTTTCTACTAATTACCAGAAACATTGACCTTCACAAGCCTCAAATGTCAACTTGTCAGCCATCATGCTCTAGATGTGATGAGATATTAGTTGCATACAATTGAAGTTCTTAAACTGACAAGATTAATGGGCACCAGGTGTCTGCTGATTACAACACTGATTACAACTTACAAGTACAAAATAATTCAAATATATATGCAGAACTAGAAAAAATAGATTTATGTTCAAGTTGGTATTATGTTAGCAAAAATTCGTCTGGGGAACAGAAGAAGTTAAAATTACTGATTATTGCACATGATTCTGTTGTTTAATGTAACAAAAAAATTGATGCCTATTTTGCTGGTTATTAAATGAGTTTAACATGACCAATTTATTTAGAAAAGGCTCTAAGGAAAAAGAAAATTCCTTTGTTTATCCAAAAAAAAAAGAAAAAAGAAAAAGAAAAAGAAAAAGAAAAAGAAAATACCTTAACCTGTAGCAAAAATAGTTAGAATTCTGGTTTTAGGGAATTTGGTAATTATCCCTGGTTCTCTGTTATCTAACAGTTTGTTGTACTCCTTGTTTTGTTTGTAACTTGTTGAATGCTTGCCACTTATTATTTTTTGATTGTATTTCATGTACTTTGGATCTCTGGTTGTCAAAACTATTTGAAGTTTCATTATATATATAAATTAGAGAAGGAAAATGAAATTTAAAGTATTCAACGATGATATTGAATCTTCTAGAATTCTAGCTTATGCATTTTTGACATTCAAATGGTCTTAACAGGCTTATAACTTATAAGTTGATATTTGTTATGTGATACCTTAGATGATTGAAGGCTGCCCCCCATTTTCTGCAAAGCAAGAAAATGAAGTTCCTAAAGCATATTGTACAAAAAAGCGCCCTCCGTTTAGAGCTCCAATTAAGCGTTATTCCCATGGACTTAAAGAGTATGTCTATATCTATATCTTTCTTAAAATTTTGTTTTAATCTTGCGATTTGTTTAATATAAACTTTCTTTATTCTCTTAGCTTTATCTCAAATGTGCAGCTTTTGGTACACTTCTTGGTACTATTTGTAATCTTTTCATTATTGTCTTCAAAAAGAGTATCTACTATCTTGTTATCTAATATGATCTAGCCAAAAAAAGAAAAGGAAAAAAAAGAAAGAAAGACATAATATGAAATCTCTGACCTTAAGTACTGTAAATGAAGATAATGAGATATACTGTGAAGTTCATAAAAAATTGTGATTGAATAGCATTCACACTCTTCCATTGATTATCAGTTTCTATTTGCGAGTCAATTGAGTTGGATTAACATTGATTCTTAAAAAGGTTTTGCGGCATTTTTAGTTTTCATGACCATAGCAATAGTATGCTATCTTACTTCATTGAATGCAATGTTTATGTTTTCTTGGTTGATAGATGACTAGTTCATAATAATAATTCCTGCTCCATCAATCTTGTCCCTAGTCATTTTTTTTATGTGATACCGTTTCTCTAAAATGCACAAAATAGGTTGTTTTGATTTCTGATAGGAATATCCAACACTGGTCAGTTATATTTGTTTCTTTTTGTCAGAAGAAAATATATGAGAACAAAGAAAAATCTGAAATTTATTAGAAAATCGGAGAAACTAGAAAAGAGAAGATGGGTGATAGCGGAAGAAGATACAAAAGAAAAAAAGAAAAAAGAGTAATTAAGTTGCTTGTTCTCTTTCTTTATTACTGCAAATACTCTTTTTCTATGTTACATAGACTCGGGTACGGATGTCTGGTGTGGGTGCGTATCTAGAGGTCGGACACACCAAATCTGAAATTTAAGGGTAATGGCAAGGATTAAAATTAAAATCAGACCATCTTCTCTTTTCTCACCACAAAATGAATGTTTTTCATAAACACCTTTTCTAATTCGTTTCCAATCCACCTCTCCATAAGGAGTTACCTCCATTGTGGTCCAACTACCCATAATTTCCAAGGAAAGGAAAGAAAAAACATAGAAATAAAAAGTGAGGGCCCCATGAATACAGCTTTTGTGGAAACAGCATGTGAGGTCTCAGTGCAGTTGATATAGTGAAGGTCTGTGATGGAGGCGACACTCTCTGTATCTCTCACACATGCTCACACACACACAAGACAAACCGAAAAATTAGGAGGAAGAAGCACATTGCAAGTGAACAAGCAGAGTAGCAAGGATGAAGATTCCCGCATCTTTTCTTTTTTCTTTCTGTTTAATATCCAGTTGGAGAATATGGCTTGAGAGAGTTGAGATTCCCCCTAAAAAAATCTTTATGAACCCCAAGGAGGGTCTGATACACCGGATTTTTAACCACACTACAAAGCTGAAGTTGTTATGCAACCACAAAACAAAAGTTACCATGTCATTTACAAGCCTACTTATCCTCCAAATTTCTTTAGTACTTCTCAGATTTTTCGTCACATTGTTTTCATTATGCATTGTGTATTAGCTTCAAACCTGAAAATGTTAATTATAGAGAGATTTCTTGACATTGATGAAGAACATTATTTTTGTACTATAGACAATGCCTAACTGGTCCAGACACTGAAACTAGGGTTCATATTTTTTTAATTTTTTTTTACTCTATTGGGTTGGGTGTCTGATTGTTCTTGTTTTTGGAAGAAATGTTAAAAGGGTCATCCAATGTCGGTCAACATGACATTGCAATATATATATATATATATATTTAATGAAGTCTCGATCCTATCTTTTTCTTGCAGGTTGATTGAGGAGTGCTGGAGTGAGGAACCAGCCAAGAGACCAACATTCAGGCAAATAATTGCTAGGTTGGAGAAAATCTATAGCAGTATTGGTCACAAGAGGCATTGGAAGGTTTGTTTCTCCTCTCTCAAATCTTTGTTTCTTTCTTGGTATATATAAATGAGATCTCCTTTAACTTCTTGATATATGCATGTCAAAATATCTACGAGTGAACACTTTTTTTTTTGATGGGCAAAAGAACTTTATTGATGAAAAGTAAAATACAATGTACAATGCAAGCATCAATAAAGCAGGGGAGAGCCCTAGCTGTTAGAATGTGTTAGGATATTTCCCATTTTATTCTCATTCAGTCTGTAATGGGCCTTTATTTAGGCCTTAACTTATGTTTATGATTTAATATAAAAGGGTATGATTAACCACTCATACTCTAACCTTTTTCTCTTCTAAAATTAACATGGTATCAGAGCAGAACTAGAAGGAGAGAAAAAAAAAAAACAAAAAACAAAAAACAAAACAAACAAAACCAGTCGACGGCAACTAGGGTTCCGACAGCCACAGCATCACCACCCCAGCCTGCAAGCCTCCGGCGAAGCCACCTAGGGTTCTGACAGCCCCAGTCGACGGCAACTAGGGTTCCGACAGCCCCAGTCGGAATCACGACTCCAGTCGAAGGCACAACCTAGGGCTCCGACAGCCCCAGTCGAAGGCACCTAGGGTTCCGACAGCCCCAGTCGGAGTCGCGACTCCAGTCGAAGGCACACGCTCATCTCTCTCTCGGCTAGCTTGGAGCCCTGTGGTCTGTCCTCGACGACATCTCTCTGTCTCTGCACGTAACACCTTTGTCTTCATTTTTCTCTCTATCTTCGTAATATCTGCCTCTCCTTAATCTGTCTTCTATAAAAATAAATAAATAAATAAAAAAAAAAACAGAAAATTCAAAAAAAAAAAAAAATGTTCTCATTCAAAAAAAAAAAAAAAATGTTCTCTTAAATTTTTATTTTTTAAATTCATTATTATCTTCCCATCTTTCGGGTTTGTGATTCACTCAGGATGTGTTTGTGAGGGTTCCGTTGCGACGTCATTATGGCCGAATTGACTAGTGAGTCTGCTACTTCGCAGCCTGTTACACAAGGCGCGAGTCCTGTTTTGACCACTTCGATGACCGATTCCCTCCACCCTGGCCGGAAAATCACCTCCTCTCTCTTTAATGGTCAGAACTATCTAGCGTGGTCGCAGAGTTTGACTATATTTTTGAAGAGCAAAAGGAAGATGGGATATGTTGATGGGCGTGTTCAGGCTCCCAGTATCACCGATACAGGTTATGATCAGTGGGAGATTACCAATTCTCTTATCATGGGTTGGTTGATACACTCTATGGTTCCGGAGATCGGTGAGGGATACTTGTCTATGGACACAGCACAGGATATTTGGGAGGCTGTGGCCACTACATATTCTCGCAAAGGTAATTTCTCGCAGACTTTTGAGTTACGACACTCTATTGACCGGTCTGTTCAGGGTGAGATGACTATTCTCCAGTATTTTACTTTCCTTAGCAATGGGTGGAAGCGACTTGATCATCTTCAAGACTACAAGCCTGTCTGCCCCACAGATTCTGCTGGTTATCGGAAATTTGTTGAACAAGTGCGGGCCTTCAAGTTTTTGGAAGGTTTGAATGTGGAGTTTGATCCTGTTCGGAGTCGTGTGCTTGGTATGGATGCTCTTCCTTCTCTCCAAGAAGCGTTTGCTTATGTGCAGAATGAGGAGAGTCGTTGTTCTGCTATGCTTCCGGCTGCCTCTTCTGATCGATCTGCCTTAGTTTCTGCCCCCTCTCGAGATGGGGATTGTGGTTCTCGCCCTTCTTCTGAGAAGGATACTCTCTTCTGTGATTTTTGTCGTCGCCCTTACCACACCCGTGAGACTTGTTGGAAGTTGCATGGGCAACCATCTGGCGGTCGTGGAGACCGTTCTAGTTCTCGAGGGGGTCGCTCCGGACAGTCTCGAGGCCGTGGGCCCACTGCCCGAGCCCATTATTCTGATATAGTTAAGCCACAGTCCACAACTCCAGTTGATTCATCTGCTGATATCTCGGGATTTTCTACTTCTGAGTTGGAGGTTGCTCTTCACCACTTGCTAGACCGTCGGGCCTCTAGTTCATCTTCAGGTAATATTGCCCAGTCAGGTAACTTAGCTTCTTCTACAAGTGCTTTTCTCTCTCATCAAACATTACCTTGGATTATCGATTCTGGTGCTTCCGACCACATGTCTGGTTCTTATGATTTGTTCTCCGCGTATACCCCTTCTTCAGGGCAGGATCAAGTTCGCATTGCTGATGGTACCATTTCTTCTGTGTCTGGGAAAGGTTTAATTCATGCCACTGCTTCTCTCCCTTTATCTTCTGTCCTACATGTTCCCAATTTTAGTGTTAATCTTTTGTCTTTGAGTCGTATTACACGGGACTTAAATTGTAGTGTGACGTTTTTCCCTGACCATTGTCTGTTTCAGGACCTTATCACGAGGAAGATGATTGGCAGTGGTGGACACGAGAATGGTCTCTATATCTTGGATCAAGCAGCCAAGCTGGCTCACTCATCCATTCAGTCTCCATCTACCAAGGAAGACATCTGGCTGTGGCACCGCCGTCTTGGGCATCCATCTTTTTTGTTACTTAAGCATCTTTTTCCCTCTATTTTTTTGAAAAATAACGTTTTTGAGTTTCATTGTGAGTCGTGTCAACTTGGCATACAACACAGAGTTTCTTTTTCTCCTTCTATTAATAAAAGTTTAGTTCCTTTTTCTTTGATTCATTCTGATGTATGGGGTCCCTCTCGTTTTGTGTCTTTAAAGGGTCAACGATGGTTTGTCACCTTTATTGATGATTGTTCTAGGACTACCTGGGTGTATCTTATGAAGGACAAATGTGAGGTGTTTTCTGTGTTTCAAACTTTTCATAAAATGCTTTGCACTCAATTTGGGGCAGTTGTCAAAATTCTGCGTTTTGATAATGGGGGGGAATACATTGATTCTGGACTTGCCAGCTATTTTGCCACTCATGGTATTATTCATCAAACTTCTTGTACCAATACCCCTCAACAGAATGGTGTTGCCGAGCGTAAAAACCGGCATCTTCTTGATATTGCGCGTTGTTTATCCTTTGAAATGCGCGTTCCTCGATCCTATTGGGGGGAAGCGGTTCTCACTGCTGCGTTCCTCATCAATCGGCTTCCTACCCAAGTTCTTCTTAAACAAACTCCTCTTCAGGTTTTGTTCGGCTTCCAAGCTTCTGTTGCCTTCTCCATTCCTCCCAAAACCTTTGGGTGTGTGTGCTTTGTTCATAATCATTCTCCTACCCGTAGTAAGTTGGATCCTCGGTCTCTTCGGTGTGTCTTCTTGGGTTACTCCGCTACTCAAAAGGGCTACAAGTGTTATCATCCCCCCTCTCACAAATGGTTTGTCTCTATGGATGTGTCTTTCTTTGAATCCCAGTCGTATTTTCTCTCATCCCCGGTGTCCCCGTCATCTCTTCAGGGGGAGCCTTGGTGTGAAGAGACTCCTGTATCACTACCATCACCATCAGTTATTGCGACTCCTGAGACTCCTGTATCAGTGTCTTTCTTTGAATCCCTGTCGTATTTTCTCTCATCCCCGGTGTCCCCGTCATCTCTTCAGGGGGAGCCTTGGTGTGAAGAGACTCCTGTATCACTACCATCACCATCAGTTATTGCGACTCCTGAGACTCCTGTATCACTACCATCACCATCAGTTATTGCGACTCCTGAGACTATTATTACTGATGATCCAACTATTGAGAATACTGACTTTCCATCTGCAGTGAAAGACGGCAAAGTGTATGTCAGGGACAAGGGTAGACAGAAAGTTACTTGGGTACAAGAGACCAATTCAGATTCTCCACTGCTATCTTCTTCTTCTGATGAGTGTCCAAAATCCTCTTCTTCTGGTCCAGGTAACTCAATTATTTCTGATCTAGATGTTCCCATTGCTAAAAGGAAGGGGGTTAGGTCGTGTACTCAACATCCTATTTCTCATTTTGTCTCCTACACTAATCTGTCTTCTTCCTATAAAGTTTTTTTGTCTAAAGTTTCTTCTGTGAGTCTTCCTTCCAATTTTTAGGATGCTCTTTCTACTCCTGAGTGGAAACATGCCATGATGGAGGAGATGAGAGCGTTTGCTAAAAATGGCACTTGGGAATTGGCTGCGTTACCTAAGGGCAAACGACCTGTTGGATGTAAGTGGGTGTACACTGTAAAGCACAAAGCTGGTTCAATTGAACGTTACAAAGCTAGATTGGTGGCCAAGGGTTTTACTCAGACTTATGGAGTAGACTACCAGGAGACATTTGCACCGGTTGCTAAAATGAATTCTGTCAGAGTCCTTTTCTCCCTTGCCTCTAATCTTGACTGGCCTCTCCATCAATTTGATGTAAAAAATGCTTTCCTCCATGGAGATCTGGCAGAAGAAGTGTACATGGACATTCCCCCTGGCTTTGAGGATGTTAAAGCCACAGGAAAGGTGTGCCGGTTACGCAAGTCACTTTATGGCCTTAAGCAGTCTCCTAGGGCTTGGTTTGAGAGGTTTACTCAGGCCATGCTGAGATATGGTTTCAAACAAAGTCATGCAGATCATACTTTGTTTGAGAAACACTCCTCACATGGTAAAACGACAGCCCTCATTGTCTATGTGGATGATATTGTACTCACAGGGGATGATGTTGAGGAGGTTCCTCGATTAAAGGAGTATTTGGCTAATGAGTTTGAAATCAAAGACTTAGGCAAACTGAAGTACTTTCTAGGCATTGAGGTTGCTCGGTCCAAAGATGGTATCTTCATATGTCAACGAAAGTATGTGCTTGATTTGCTAAAAGAAACTGGAATGCTTGGAAGTAAAGCATGTGATACACCACTAGAACTCGGACTAAAGCTTAGTGAGGATGAAGGAGGCGAGCCTGTAGACGGGGGGAGATACCAGAGATTAGTGGGTAAGCTTATTTACTGATCCCATTCGCGGCCTGATATTGCTATTGCAGTTAGTATGGTTAGTCAGTTTATGCATGCTCCACGTGCAACTCACTTAGAGGCGGTTATGCGGATTCTGAGATACTTGAAATCTTCTCTGGGTAAGGATCTTTATTTCTTAAAGCATAGTCATCTCAATGTGGAGGCATATACAGACGCTGATTGGGCTGGCTCAGTAACTGATAGAAGATCCACCTCTGGCTATTGTACCTTCGTTGGCGGAAATCTAGTTACTTGGAGAAGCAAGAAACAAAATGTTGTTGCGCGGTCTAGTGCAGAGGCTGAATTCAGAGCTATGGCTCAAGGTGTGTGTGAGCTTTTATGGATTTGATTATTATTGCGAGATTTGGGGATTAATCACACAGATTCTATGAGGCTATACTGTGACAATAAGGCCGCCATTAATATAGTCCATAATCCGATTCAGCATGATCGGACCAAGCATGTGGAGATTGATCGACATTTTATCAAGGAAAAGCTTACTAGTGGCACTATATGTATGCCTTTCGTGCGGTCTGGGGATCAATTGGCTGATGTTCTTACCAAAGGATTAGGGATTAAACCGTTCCGTGACATTCTCGACAAGCTGGGCATGAGAGATATCTTTGCACCAACTTGAGGGGGAGTGTTAGAATGTGTTAGGATATTTCCTATTTTATTCTCATTCAGTCTGTAATGGGCCTTTATTTAGGCCTTAACTTATGTTTATGATTTAATATAAAAGGGTATGATTAACCACTCATACTCTAACCTTTTTCTCTTCTAAAACTAACACTAGCATCATAGCTAAAGTGAATGATCGCAACTAGGTTGACAATATACACCTAGCCCAACCATGTGCTTGCTCAACCCCAGGTTGATGAGAAACCAACCAGAGGAGAAAAAAATAGCAAAAAACCAGCAAAAACCTCCAAACCCCACCCAGCTAAACCACCCAAGAACTTATTCAATAGAACACACCAGGACCAGACCTCCCACCCTCAGAAACCCCCGTCCCAGCTGCAGAAGCAGAGGAGCACAACCATAAATGCACACACAAATCAACACAGTAAAGCATGTTCAAAAACCAAGCCTCACTTTCTTAAAATACATTACCTCACCTGTTGTAAGCTTGCCACCACCTCATTTATGGTATAAAAGCAGCTCATTTACAAGTGACACTATTGTTCAACCTCAACAGTTGATGGATCACTTATTTTAGCAGAACAGTTTTTAAAGAATTGATAGATGATGAAGATCATAAATAGGCCTGTGTCATGATATTTCTTCTATTTTTTCTTGATCCTGTTTTTATTTTTGAATCTCATTCGAGTGCATGGTGCATGAACAGGTCAGAACCTTGAAATGCTTTCAGAATCTGGAGGCCATGTGGAAGAAAGATTCTCGTAGACTGAGTAAAAGAAGCCATTCATCTCGTTCTACTAGCATCACATAAAGAGATGGGATTTATGTTTCCTTTTACCTCGCAAGTGTGCAGTAAGTTTTAATCTTTTAGCTTCAGGAAAAAAAAAAAAATTGTTTTTGTAATTTTAAGTTAGATTTTTTTTTTCCCCTCCCAGATTTGTCAACTCTTTGCAAATAAAAATTGGTATAGCATTCTATTGCTTGAAATATAGATTGGTTATAGACTCTCAATGTAATCATACTGTTCAGTTCTATACAATGTTTGTTCAGTTCATGATTACATGTGAGATTCACTGCCATTTGTGTTTAGTAAAAAAAAATGTCTTCTGAGAAACTGATTTATGTATTTGGACTATGATTAATGGAATTTTTAGTAGTATATAAAATTTGATTGTAGTAGATGGAGAACCAACTTTTCCATGCATATAGGGTACATGTCTATTTTGGTTTTCTTTCTCTCTCAAGACAGTGACAAGTCCATTTTTGTGGTATTATGAAATCCCATGAAGGGAAAGTCAATTTTCAAAAAAATAAAATAAAAATTGGGTCTTTGTTTCTGAGTGCTACCATATGGGTTAGTCAAGTGGGTCATACCTGAGGGCTACCATTAGGGTTAGTCAAGTGGTAAGATCTTTGTATTTTACTAGGAAGTTACGAGTTTGATTCAGTCCTTCAAAAAATTGGTCCTAGCATAGATACAAAAAAAGCATAAAGTGGAGTATATATATAGTGAACGAGTTTAAAATTTTAGTGTATGAATGTGCATAGAGAGAGAGAGAGATATTATAAGAAAGTAGAAACGAGAGAGAGAGAGAGAGAGAGAGAGAGAGAGAGAGAGAGAGAGAGAGAGAGAGAGCAATTGTACCATATTATAAGAAAGTAGAAACGAATACACACAACATGAAAGTCAATTTGTACAAATTACAACTATCATGATGAAAGTAGAGCAATTGTACCATTTTCTGTTGGAGTTTAAATTGGATTCATGTTTAAAAAGTACAGTGCAGATAGGGGTGTGAAAAGAAAAATTGGGTACAAACTAATATTTGATATTTTTTTTGAACGGTAAAAAAACTTTATTGATGTAGAAAATAAGTATAAAGTACAAAACGAACTATATCAAAAAAGAAAAGAAAAGTACAAAAGCATCACAATGAGCTAAATCATCCTAACTAGGTTGGCATCAAACAACTCATCCAATTATTTGCTAGCACCTCCAGAGTTGCTGAGAAACCAATAGAAGAAAAAGAAAAAGACGAAACTCTGCCACAGCAAAGCACACCAGAAACCATCCCAGATCAAAATAACAGCCATCATATCAAACAGAACAAAAACATACCAACATAACATATAAAAAATATCAGACCAACATAACAGAGTTTAACAGACAGAGCTGAGAAGCCAAGAATTTAGACCAGTTGCAGGACACACCGGAAAGCACCACAGTAGGCTGAGCACTTAGTCAACAGATTAGTCCAAAATGCAGAACTAAAACACAGCCCAGAATCAACCTCAAGTAGTATCCATTATCAGTCCATGATTATCAATACTCTTTGATCAACTCTTTGAAACTTGAATCTCTGCAGCAACATCACATAAGAGTAGGCCAAAGCATCATCGCCCAACTGGTGGTGCCAAACAAAACAACTAAATATAGCATTTGTTGAGGGACACCAAACTTGGGCCATAGCATTCAACCTCCATTACTAATACCCAAAGCAGCAGTCCCACAACACCAAAAACATCCAAAAAAACCATTAGCAGACTTTTCACCATCTGCAGACCAGCAGCAAGAAACAGCAGTAGCCCCAAAATTGATTAGAAACATCACAAGGAGACAAAGCAGCAAAGAAACGAAGCATCCCAGAACAGATCAGCAATTGGCAGCAATATGCAAGATAATTAGCTGTAGCAGCAACTGGTAGCAGTATCTGCTTCAGATTAAATACTATAACATGCACTGAGTACTGCAACTCTTTCAACTTTGATTTTGCCCCATGCCTCATGCTCTTCCATCTTCCGTTAGTCTTCACCTGCTGCAACCAATCAGCAACACTGATGAAAAAAAGAGTTGGGTTCAGGTAGCACTGAAACCCAAGTCCTATCTCTTAAGCAGATTTCAAGGCCTAATATGTTGTTAGACCTTAGCACAGATATCATCTGTGGCCTGAAAAGACAATCACTCCTCTCATCCCTCAAAAGCTCATTAAACACAGTCCTTGGCTCTATCCTCAATTCTTCAGCTGACACTTTCAGAACTTCACAAGCCACCCCTTAACTACTGAAACATGATCACTCACAACATTCACAGGAACAGATGAGTAACACACATTAGTAGATCAGCAACAGAGCAACACATTTTATGCTTTATACACTAGTGCCCATCTATATCCCCATCACACCTCATTTGATACATCTCCTGATCTGTTGCAGATTTGAAACAAATTGATTAATTGAATAATCTCTTCCTGCCATACTTGACTTCGACCAGATGGCCATCCTAACCTTGATAAGCTCACACAGCTTTTCACTATTGAGCTGTACCTCATTGAAAATTACATCATTTCTGTGCTTCCAAACAAACTAGAAAATCGTTACTGGTATTGTTTTCCATATCTGTAATTCCTCTTTTTTAAACTTCCAGCCACTCCACCACTGAAGTAGACCTTCCACTGTACCAGGTGCTGCCTATTGCATTCCCCACCAATTGATTATGCTAGACCATATATTCTACACTATAGTTTGGGAAGATTGAAAAAAGACAAAAAGTCAAAAAGTCACTATCTTATTTAAGTCACATCATCTTATTTAAGTCACATCATCTCTCTAACACATCACTTCAAACCCAACCCAAACCCAACCCATATTTCATAAAAAGTCAAAAAGTGCACTTATTTAGTCTTCTCAAACTAGGCCTTAATGATAATGTAACATAATATGATTTAGTGACTCCTCTGTTTTACAAAGAGCACAGAATAATCCCACTCTTGTGTCAACAATCCCTATCTTATGTAGGAAGTCTATTCTCTTTATTCTCCCTTTCCATACCAACCAAGCAAAGAACTGCGTTTTTGGAGCTGCTGCATTGTTCCAAATTAAACTGGATAACCTTTACCTAGATCTATGAATCAACTCACACTAGTTGAAAACAGACTTTATACTGAAACAACCAGAACTATTAGCATTTCATCTGATATCATCTAATTTTCTAGGCTCAATCTTGGTCCAGCTCTTAATTCCTCTTTCAAAATTCTTAAATCCTCCTCCTCCCATGCCAATAAAAATATTCTAAAACTGAAAATCCATTTAGCATGATTACCTTTTCTGTCCACCATTTTTTTCAGTGATACCCCTTTATTAGTAGAAATGCTAAAAAGTCTTGGATATTCATCATTCAAACAGAACATGTCCAGCCAAGCATCCTTCCAGAATTTAATCCTACTCCCATTCCCAACTATAATTTCAACATTTTCCATAAAAAAATTCAATAGCCTAGGATTGGAATGCGCTACTGTTAGGATATCACTCCATATCCTTGAGCTATTACAATCAACCATATGAAAAGGAAACCGTCTCCCACCTTCAGTCCCATACCTGCTGCAAATCAAGATCTTCTGCAGTGCATCATCTTCAGCCCCAAACCTCCACCACCACTTGGCCAATAGACTATCATTTACTGCTTTAATGTCCCTAATACCCAATCCTTCAAGATTTTTGCTCACTTTCTTTCCACTTCACTAAGTGTAATTTCCTCTCCAGATTAGTGTCACCCCAAAGGAATGCTGATTGTATCTTATCAATCTCCTTTGCTATTCCTTGAGGCATCTTAAATAAGGCCGTGTAATAAACTGGCAGGTTGGAGAGCACAGACTTAATTAGAGTCACTCTACTAGCAAATGAGAGCACTCTTCTCTTTCATCCAACTAATTTTGTCTTGAACTTGTCCGCTATAGGTTTCCAAATTTTCTTTCTTCTAGGATTAGCCCCTAAAGGCATACCCAAGTACTTAAAAGGAAGTTGTTGACTCATGCAATTTAATCTTGAAGCAACATCAGCAACCGTAGCCTCATCAATTCCCACCCCACAGACAAAACTCTTATGATAATTGATCTTTAGTCCAGATGCCACTTCAAAACATTTTAAAATTCTCTTCACATTTGAAACTTCCACCTAATCTGCCTCACAAAATAAGACTGTGCCATCAGCAAATTGTAGATGGGATAACTTTAATCCTTCATTGCCAATAATGACCCCTTTTATCAGTCCTAGTTCTCTGGCTCTTGATAACAACATATTTAGCCCTTTAGCTATGATAATGAACAAAAATGGTGAGAAAGGATCCCCTTGCCTCAACCCTTTTTGGGGACACACTTCCTCAGATGGAGAGCCAGTAACTAGGAATGATACTCTAGCTGAATCTAAACAAGTCCTCATCTATTCCACCCACTTGGTCTCAAACCCAAACTTTCCCAACATATCAAACAGGAAGCTCCAATTTACTATATCATATGCTTTTTTAAAATCAAGTTTCAAAATTAGTCCACTTTTCTTGGATCTTTTCCACCAATCTACCACTTCATTTGGTACTAATATCCTATCCAGTATGCTTCTCCCACTAAGGAATGCAGATTGTGTTGAGCTAATGATACTTGGTAACACTTGTTTTAATCCACTAGCTATGACTTTTGATAGGATCTTGTACATGGAATTTATGAGACTGATTGGCCTAAAATCTTGGATACTTGTTGGATTTTCCTTCTTGGGGATCAATGATACGAAGGAAACATTTAGGCCCTTTACTAACCTCCCGTTCACATGAAATTCTGCCATGAATTTGAGAAAATCATCCTTCATTATCCTCCATCCCTTTTGGATGCAAATCAAATTAAATCCTTCGGGCCCATGGGCTTTATTCCCATCACACTCCTTAATGGCAACCCGTATTTCTGATTCAGAAAACTCTTTCACCATCAACTCAACTTGATAAGGTTCAATTGACCTAAAAGCTCCACCAATCTATGGTCTAAACTTTCAATTTTCTGCAAATGCCTCACCAAAATATCTTGCAATTTCCTGTTTCATTTCTATAGGTTTGTTGTAAGAAGTACCCTTGATGATGATGGAATCCATCAGGTTTCTACTCAACCTCTTTGTAGCCATGACATGGAAATACCTAGTATTCCTATCTCCTTTTAAAGCCTAGTTTACTCTGGATTTCTGCACCCAAAACCATTCTTTCATTTTTCTCAGCTTCCAAATCTCCCATTTAACCTCTCTTCTTCTTGATAATTCAACATCATTCAAAGCCCTTACCTCAGTAGCCAAGTCTAATGC